CAGGCACAGTCAGGCACACGATAGATCCATTTTATCAACGATTACTCAATAAGTACTCTGGGATATGTCAACCGCAACCGACATTGTCGTGTGCAACCAGCAATGTTACACATCACGTCACGACTGTAGGATCACCTGTGTTCTTAAAAATGATACGACTAGCTCCCGAAAATCTGAGATTGATCAAAAACGAATTAGATCACATGATAGATTGAGGAATCATTCTGTCATCAAGCAGCCCATGGGCATCTCCATTACATATGGTCCCTAAAATGCACAGCGTCGATTGATGTCCAACTAGCGACCATCCTCGGCTGAACAAGTAGACCATTCCTGATCGTTGCCCATCGCCTAACATTCATGATTTGATAGATACCTTAAAAGGGACGACTTTTTTGGGAATCAACTTGGATAAACCATATTAGCGTGTTCTCAAGGTTGCTGGTGACATTCCGAAAACCACTAACATCTATCCTTTCGGTCTATACGAGTACACACTATTGATGCTCAAGGCAACCTATGAAAAGCAAAGCGGCGCGCATTTTTGATTGCCCAGAACCAACCACAATCAAGCAATTACGCACGTTTAATGGACTAGTAAGTTTCTATGGATGATTCATACCAAACTGCGTGTCCATTATGAAACCCCTCGTCGACCAACTTCGTGGAAATGCGTACCGTGCCTCAGATCACCTTGACAAAAATTTTTGCCTTCACACAGCTATCACATCTCATTAGATAAACCAGTACAGATTTCATGTTGAATGGAGACCATCATGCTAGTGTCGTATTTTTCGTAACTATTATCTGAGTCCTAAGTAAATTATGCTTTCAGTCAACATGAATACATCCCACTAAGAAGAAAGCTTTAAAAATTAACTTGACACCCATTTAGCTACTTGTGTTTTGTCGTCTTTAGCTTAGGACAGCGGCTGATTATATGCACGTGTAAGGAAAGACATTTCCACACCTTTTATCCGGCATAATACACGTCTTTCAACTTTTCTATATTATTTTGCATACTGTCACTTCTATTACTGTCAGGACTATCATCTTATTATTATTATTATTATTATCATCGTTGATATTTCATGGCTCTTTTGCTCATTGTTACATCCTCATATTTGTTTGTTCTTAAGTTCTTGTTTCGTTCTATTTAACTTATTCACATACCCTCTTCTTCCTTAAATTCCAATGTTCAGCTTTCATGATGAACCATCTAGTCTCATGATCTCCAACTAAATGGCTGATGATTTCATGGGAGAACAACATTGGGCAGTGTTATAACTTGTGACGGCCGATCAGAGAGCAGTGACTCATCGATCGGATCAAAGACGCCTAAACACGTGCGAGCAGCGTGGAGTCCTGATTGGCCCTACTTCTCGCCTAGCCCAGCCAGTTAAGTCAAGAACACAAGTTTCAGCCCCTGCAATATGAATCATTATGCTTCAAACATACTCTGTTTATATGACAATCAGCCAGACCACATCGTACCATAAAATAGAAAATAATATTTGTACAATATTTGGCCAACAGGAAAACGACACGTGAAATAAATATTGACCAGTAGGGAAATGACACGTGAAATAAATATTGACCAGTGGGAAAATGATACCATTTCAAGTCCAAGGATAGCATTAGACTTAACAGGATAATTTTTGGGAAGTTTTTCTGAATATCGCAACAGGCAGTCACACCAGAAATGTTCTTAACTCACTCAAAAACGTACGCACCGAGTCATCTTGAAGTACAGAAGATCGTTTCATCCCCTCTTTTCAAAACAGATATAAATCTCTTGAATGGAATACATAGGTGGGCAACCAAATGTACGATAGGTCTGAAACATAAATCTTGCGATGACAGCCCCCAGCACTTGGGGTTATTCTCGCTGAGCTATGGCGGAATGCGAAATGGTATGATAATGGCATGCTTGTTAAATGAACCAAGTCACCCCAACAAGAAATTATTACCAAAATATCAGATGGATTTTGTGGATATTATAGTAATTTCAATGGTTAAGACCATCAACACGCTAATTGAGGAAACCCACAAGAGCTTGCACATAAAAGGGCGAACATCCGGGCACGAATTCATTTTTTGTCACTAATTGTTGCTTCCATTTGAAACGCTATCCCAGTTGCAGTGACCACAACCAACTCACCGGATAACTTCAGGAGGAGACCTGACCAACACGTACTCACTCGTAGATTACCATCCCAATATTGGACCGCATGCGCCTGATGCATGTCTCATAATTTACCACGGTTATCATTAAAAAGATACTAATAAATGCTTCCCGTCTAGCTTACTATCCTCTACATTTCTCCTCTTAGTCTTTAAACCTGATCTCATGTTGTCTGTATCACCAATTAATTATTATATTTATTCCTCGAAACACCCGTCTTCTATTAGTATTGGAATTTTCCGTTTCGTATTTCCTACCTTGTAACCAACCAACCTCCCGCATGGTAGTGCGACGGCAGTTGATAATCAGAAACCCTATTACCCTGAAACATACGCACTCACATGAGTTACACATACAAATCCACAAAAGCAGACAAACTAGCCGGAATTAGCGCAGTTGAGCTGTTAAACTACCAGCTACTGGACATTTCCGAATCCATGAAACCTAATGGAAACAACAAAAACAGTTCAAGGAATCTGTCAGTTTATACAAGCTCATAACAAAAATATTGGATCCCATGGATCGATAAGGAAACCCGAAAGCTGCTGAGGTACAGGAAACGGTTTGATGACCTTTGTCAACAGACAACGAATCATTTAGGTACGAGTATCGAAAAATCTAGGACATATGCAAAAGGAACACAGCTACATGACAAAACACCTACAAAATACAGTTAACACGTTTATATTTGACTGAAGAAGCTGCTTCTCAATTGATCAGTAACTCCTGACACAGTATTAGTGCACATCGAATACGGCAACAGTTACTAGTATAGGGTCAACCGTACATCAACTTCACGGGTGCAGGAACAAAAAGACTTAGGTTTGACAGAGATTCACGGCTTAAAAGCAACTGTGCGTCATTATCATCAACGGCGGCAGGCCGTTTGAAAATTTGGGCTACTCGTTCCTCCCATCGGAGTGTTTCGACAAGTTATCTTTATTTTATTTTCACATATTATCATGTCTATTAATTTCATAATCAATTCAGGCGCATATATGACGACCTATCACCTTTCAAGGTACAAAAAGTACAATCAGAGACATCGTGATGACTAACAATATGTATTGAAAAAAATGGACGACAATCAAATGTTGATTCTCGAACTGCCAAATTCTAACTGCCGGTTACTAATTTGCAAGGTGAATTATCTTTTATTTCTACTAAGTCAGAACATATATCGTAATTGTGGTATAATCACAAACCAAGAATCTCTGTTAAATGATCTAAAAGATGACGGACTAGTATCAATACAAGATTTCAGTATCTATTACTGGGATCGACCAAGCAGTGAGAAAATGTTTGGGGGTCGGTGTGGTTACGTTTGTAAATGTAATCGATCTATGTCAGCATGTTTCAAGCTTACAAACGACTGTCGACTACTCAACTTTACGTTGCGAACCAAAACACTAGAATAAATGTTTGCCTTAACAACATTTACGTAACTGCAAACTCCACATCATCTGCGGTGTGTTTTCGCCGATGACTTCCTTGAATTTGCCGATACTGAGTTCAGTACTACATTTCCAGCTACATGTAGTGATTTTATTTCATGTGACTGTAGCTTTCTTTTGTCACTAGGTCACCAATGTGTAGTAGATTCTCCCACTTGTTTGTATGCCCATTTAGTCTTCGTTCTCATTAATGATTTGGGTACATATGTGTGCCGTAAACGTGCTCCATTGTCTAGCTCGGATCACTGTACATTTTGTGTCCTATCTAATATATATGGAAATCATGTGAATAGTGCACTCTTACATTAAACAAAGGAAGTCAAACACAGGAGTTACTCAGATGAAAATACTCAAAACATGAAAGACGTATTTCATACGATTCAATGGGAGTTATTTGCAAATAACTCACTTGAAAACACCATTTGTTATCTTAATTCCTGTTTTAATGTTTGTTGTTCCACTGAAGCTAATTTTGTAGGTTTTGACTGACTTGCATTTCTACAACTAAAACGATTACGGAAGCGAGGGCAAAGAATGATTGTACAAGGAGAAAGACTCCACAAAAGTTCGAAAACTAAATGGTTTAATAAACTTAGAAATTAGAAGTCTAAAACTGATGTTTGTTGAAGAATTATTGTCCTGTAAAAACTCTCCACGCATTTGGGAATCATTTAAAAAACGTACGCGCGAAAGACACGTTGTGAGCGATAACTAGCCGAATGCTTATGACTTAAATATGTTTCTTATACGTCAGTCATTCGATGTCATGCTTCCTATATCCACAGGTTTTATGAGTCGTTATGTTTTAGTTTCCACTGAAACACATATTTGAAAATGTCTCCAGTCACGTAACTCGCTAAAATTTTTAAGACTAGTATCATTAATAAATCTTATTATTGCGCTACTTGCGGAAATTATCATATCTAAGGTCACATCAAGAAAGTCCGATAAACCGTGAACTAATATACTTCTAATGGGATTTCGTTTTTCTCATCGAGTGGTCAATGACTGAAAAGTCTTACCAGAACAAATGGTTTCAGTCCAATCAGGGAAAATTTTTAGGTGGAGACTGAACCTTCTATGATACTTACAAGTATTTGAATTAAGTTGCTAACTAAGAATTCCCGAGATAATGCAATTTAAGCCAGATGTAAAGGAACAACTGAACGCGTCATATTTTGAATTCGCAAAAAGCGTGAAATCGCGTTGAAAAGAGTCATCAGTTAGCACAAACACCACATCTACACTGCAACACAAGTTGCTAGGATGAATACAGGCCCTTCCTTAAAACCGAATACTGAGGACTGAGAACAAAAGCCGCTAATTGTAAACAGTGAAGGTCATCGTCGCTGCGTTGACAAATGAGTCCGCTTTGTTACCTTTTTGTAGTATCTGCTTCTGTACTCCTTACTTTAGGAGATGCAGAGATGTTTGGGGCACCTAGAAAACTGCAGCCGAACGAGGCGACCATAGAAAAATTTAATCATGAGTTGGTCAAGGTAGCCCATAAATTCAACTCCGAGCATGGAAACAACAGTCTTCATATCATAACTAAGTTGGTAAACGTGACTTCCCAGGTGAGGTTTTGTCTTTACAAGTTACCATTTTTACAGGTCGTTCAGGGGATTTTATATACGTTTTACGTTAAGTTTTCCCCTACATCGTGCACAACTTTTGCCAATGACAACACTCGTAAGATAATTAACACCTTTTACTAATATGTGTATCTTAGATGTTTTGGGCGAAATTTTTCTTAATCAGAATTCTTGTGACGTAACTGGTGGAGAGGTATTTTTATTTATGTTAATGCTGTTTATTTTCTACTTAGAGTAAGATTTGCAAGGTCACTGTATGGCAAAGACCATGGCTCCGATCTGATGCTTCTGAGATAATTAAAATAGTTAATTGTTCCACGGATACGATTTGATCTGCTCTCGTTCTATGCTATGCCATAAATTCATGTAATGGTGGGGATTTAGATTTTAACATTTGATTATTCGTATATAGCAAAGTTTGCTTCATTCGCCATGCGTGTATTTGATTCATTAGTTAATTAGATTTGAATTTCACGGAAATAACCTGACTTCATACTCTTCATTTCTGGCGATTCATTATTGAACCTAATAGTCGCATTTGATTTTGTTTGCAGTAATATATTCTAGTAAAGTAAATATGATTTCATGAGGCTAATATTTTTCCGGCAGTTTACTTCTAATTTCATATTTGGGGACTACTGACAAACAATCATTATCTCTGGCATTTAAAAACTATTCTTATTAGTTTCTTTTAGCTGCTCTTATAACTTATTCATACATGGGATTTCATTTTAATTTCGGTGTTATAATTGTTTTACGTGTTTTAAACCGTGAAAACTTGTTAATACTGAATGATAAACTTAAAACTAGATTTTTCCGTGCTTCATTTGTGTTCGGTTAATAAAGGTTTTCTCATATTCAAATGTTGTAAGTTGGTTTTAATTTTGTTTGTCTTTTTAGTTCGGTGTGTAATCAGAACTTATATTTTATTTTCAACAAAAATAATAGGCGTAGGAAATCTACGTCATAATCTTAAGAGACATGTATATTCACTAAATCTACTTTTACATTCACCTTCAAATTCAAAACTTACACAACTTTGTGTTCTTTTGATCTTCCTGATGTATTGTGCAGGTTATATAAACGAGATGAAAAATGACTCATCCCGTCTTATACTGCTTGTCACTACTATTCCATATGTCACTCCTTTTAGATTCATTTCTACTGAACATCATTTTCGAAAATATTAGCTTATAAAGACCAGATGATTTAACTGTCGTTCATGATGTGGTCGTTTCAGCGTCAAACAATCTGAAACCACTTACAATTTGAATTGAAAGACATAAAGCCCATAACTGAAGTTATGAATCTAGATCAAGTGAATTAACTGACTAGTGTGTAATACTTGCAAAGTTACTGTTCATCGTGATGTATGATGTTTACTGAAGTAGGATTATATTCGGGAAAGCTGAATATGACAGCGCAAATACTTCGCATTATTCCGAGTCTTCAGGAAAGTAAAGTTAGTATTAAAAGATTACAGATGGGATGCTTAGAACCGACCGTAGTAGGTTGAATACATTAATTAATCAAATTGTATTGAATTTCTCGTTACTTGTCATTTACCTTTAACTTGTTGCTTCTATGCTACTAAACTTGTTCTGTAGTAAACTATGATAGCTTGAAGAGATGTGCTCTAATATTTGGCTTAGTTTTCATGTTTTCACACTTGAACTGTCCTGTGCAGTTAGATGTGAGAATAATAAGGATTTGGAAAAAAATTGTAAAGTGCATGGCTCAGTCCGAAAGGCAAGCTTTTGAAATCTAAGAGTTGGTTCGTTAAGGTTGTGTTTGTTTTTTTACTAAGATTGCTGAGATCTGTGGAAACCCACTGGAAGTGGGATTTATACCAATTTTTATTTCTTTGTATTCGTAATTGGTATTCTTAAACATGACAAGTAAGTTTTGGCCTCATTATTACCTCTATTATTCAGGTTATTTCAAATTAGGGTCATGTTTAGTGGGCTAAAGTTTAAACTACATACTTGCACTTAGAGAGGGCTATATAACTCAGGCATCCTCAAGTAAGACAAGATAGTAAAGTGAAATATTAACTCTTTTGAATTATTTATCTGTTAATATACTCACCTATTGTCGTAAAGTTATTAAGTCTCAATATATTTTGCGCTATGAGGTTACGTTCTACTATTCAAAGTACTTAGTATAATTTAATATATAGTAGGATAAATCTGAGTACGGTTGGAACCAAACAGCTAAAGTTCTTTTACTTTATACGTATAACGTATGGGAAGTTCGAATTTCAAGAGATACACTTTTTAGTATCCAGAATAGCTAATATCAAAGATAGAAATAATGAACTGGGAATTACCTTATGAGAATTTGATGGGGTTTTAGGGTCTTTGGACATGCATATTTACTCCGTAGAAAGTATGATCTACGTTATCATACAGTGAAATAGGTTTGATTTCAAGTACTTAATACAAAACTGCTCACTAGTTGCTTTCCAAAAAGACTGATAACAGATGCCCTATCTTTAAACCCTTCACGATCAACCCACACAAATTTGTTACAGTTCTTACATAAAGATAACCTGAATGGAAACTTGAGTGAGAAAAGATGTGGACAAAGCTCCAAAGGTTTAGTTGTTGATTAAATCTACGAAAGATAAAACCAATCGAATATTTTAAATGAAAACTTTTTATCACTAAAAGGAGTCAGACAAGATAATAAATTTGCAAAATATGCGAAAATACGGATTGTCGAAAAAATCTGAAACCAAATAAAAATAGTTACATAGGTAGTAGTGTGCAAATGTTGTATATCTCAGTGTCCAACATATCCAAGAGTTTCTATACACGAAACATTACGTCCAAAATTAGTATTATGAGTAAATGTCTTGAAAATACATCTATCAGACAGATGTTTAGGGCACCGCCTTTTAATATAACAGGTTCGTCATAAGCCTAGTAAGTGGGCAGCAATACTAGAGAACACAGAGCGAACAGAATCACGTGTATTTTATAAACCATAGTCAGTGAACAATGTATATTTACACCAGTAAGTTGACATTGTGATCTAGACACTGTTGTATCATCAGTAATTGACAATCAACAACTTAAATGAAACTATGAGAAATATAAATAGTAGGAAACATAGTTCCAGTCTTATTATACCATCTCTACATAGTAAGGGAACTGTGTCCAAAAGTTATTCTGAAGTAATACTGATGCGAAGTATTTAGAATCCTTCATAAAATATTTGATTGACAGGTGATTTAATTTTTCTCCCTGCTATATTTTACATTTTTATTTCATGCCAGCTGGAATTCGTTTTTCCTTATTTTATCACGTAGTTTCTATTTCTGTTTATAATTTAATATGTCACTTTGTGTTAATCTGTCAGTGTGGCCAAAAATTCTACAAAATTTAGAAAAAATGTAAAAAACCTATTCTCTAAAGTAACTTTTTAAAGTTTACGACTTCGATCAACGCTAAGGGACTAAATAAGTGACATTGGTTACTACTCAATTATCAGTCATTTGTAAAAATCCCAGTCCGACTGTAGGTTAGTCAGAAACTGGATGGCGTTTGGTGATGTTTTGAACTGTGAAGCTGGGTTGCGAGGGATCGGATCCTACGGGGGAGCTTTACTTCCTTCAAGACTGTAGATACATGCTACTGAAGAGCTCCATATAACACGTGACCTAGGTCAACTAGGTTTTTCTGCCAAATACCATCCAACTACCCAAAAATTATGAGATGTCGAACATTTACGTTTCTACTCTTTGGGATATTACAATTATTTCTTGAGTTCTAAAAACCAGTTTATCACTATATATATATGGGAAACACCTTAATATTATCATTAGGACGCAAGTATTTTTAAGCATGGTCAGATAGAGGCTATCAGTGGAATCGAGTCGTTTCGTCTTGTTTGAGACTCATCAGTTGGAAACACCTGAATGCTAGAGTTGGCGATCACGCTGGGATTCTTGAACGTTTTATATCATTTGATACTTATGTTAAAATTTACTGTCTGATGACACATAAGGTCTTCATTAGTGTGGTGCTAAATTGCACTCGGGTAGATCTGATAGACGTGCGCATTCATTGTATTTCTGAGTATTAAGTAATCACCACGTTTAAAACATGCATTTGTATTTCCTGATAAGGATAATGCTTATGCTTGGAAACTATGTTATTAATTGTACTTTTGAATCGTTAGTAATGTTGGTACAACTAAGTAGAAGTGTTACAAGTTTTAACACTTCCATCAGGTGTATTCTACGATAAGGTGTTTGAAAAAGTATTGATAAATGGTATCAATAAAATATCTATATGGACGAATATATTTTGTTTTTTTAGAAGCGTATTTATATTTAATGGAAACTTGACTGATACGATAGCTTTTAACTAATCAGAAAGTGAACAATCTGTAGAAATACTTTGCAATATTATATTGTTTTATTATGTGGTCCGCTGTACGATGATTTCAAGTTGAATACAAATTAATCCTCGAAATAAATAATTAACAATCGATAAAGATCAACAGAAATTTTCAGTAAAAGGTATGGGACTACAATAAACACTGAAGGGTAATTGATAAAATATAGCCTTTTAGAAGGTGACGTCAATTATGAATCTTGTAAGGGTTATAAGTTCTTGATAGGTTAAGTCCTATGTAAATTGATTAATTTCAAGAATGGGATACTTAAATGTAGTGTCTGAAGTTATTCTTTTAATTTAGTCCCAATTAAATAAACAATAATTATGCAAGTGACTTATCGGAAGCTTGACATCATTCGAAACATTGTTATAAATTTGTTTGGTTGTTGATCCATGTCCATCTAAGTGTACACTCAGACTTGGTAATACGTCTACAAGTTACACCACCATTTTCAACGAACTCAGCTCTACCGAAATCGTCCTCCTGAACCACAACTCTTCGTCATCTCGGTTACATTTTTAAGATGTAGTAGGTAGTTGAAGATTCATCCTTCATATTCCTACTAGTATTCATATCAATGTCATTATTGTTGTAGTTGAAATGTGATTTATATAATTTACCATTTTAGCTAGATTGCGTTTCTTAATGTCGTACACACTACAAAACACAGTGTTCGACTATTTATAAAAATGCATCTGTCGTTATCGGAGGTTTTGCGCTATAGAAGTTTCAGTAAATCAACTAAATACCCCGTTTGTTCAAATACTTATTATTGTAGTGAGAAATGATCATTAAGTAAACTGACTTTTAGAAAATCTTGAAGTGTTTGAATAAATTTTGTTTTCTTAATATTATAGAAGTGTAGTTTCTCGGCTTTTTTTTAGAAACGTAAGTCATACATCCGTATTTAGCGCGGATCAAGTAG